AATTAAAAAAAATATCCTGAAAAAACTAACTTTTCTTTTGAATATCTTACCCGTTCTAGTACCAGCAATAACATATATAGATCAGCATAGATCTAATCCTAGTTTTGCAGCGAATAACTTTTTGTCCTCTGATTCATTTTCTTTTTTTTTTATATGTTGACATAATTAAAATTTAATAAAAATTAAATTGCAGCTACATGAAAAATAAAAATTTAACAACAATAGTATCGGTCATATCCAAAGGTTAATTGTATTCGCTATGTCAGACACCCAATAATTGGTCTAAAAGCATGATGTTGCTCTGGATGTTATATAGCCTAATTTATTATAACTTGAATTAGAACCTGACGATGGAGCACATTACATTTAAGGTAATTACAAATTTAATGTAACAACCCAATTCTGACATGTATTGTAACATGCACTGCATTTTAACTCAATTGGGAGTAAATATCCCGAAACGTTAATATGTAAAAATATAACTGAAAATACAACAAATAAATTCAATTGTTGTGAATGGAAGTCATCATTGCCAAATAACGAAAAACATTTTTTTTTTGTTTTTCAAAAATATTATTAAACCGTAAAAGCGTGATCGCAAAAATATATATTTATTTAATGTAAGTTAAGCCACATTTCTTATATTTTTTTTACTTACATAAACCCTTACTTCAAAAGACTATGAAAACTGGGAAATGGTTCAGTATTAACAATTCAAATATTCAAAGAACCTACAGTGAACAAGGCAAAAATATTTAAAAAAAAAAAAACAAAAAGATAATTCTCATATATCACACAACTAGAGAACAACGAATATACAAGAATTTTATTATTGTTACTCATCCGAAATAACTGTACATCTTATGTTTAAAAAAAGTTCATAATGATTTTTATTATGTTTATTTATTTATAGAAGCCAGAAAAATAATCTTAATTGGTTGTGTAATTCATTTAGGTCCATTTATTTTCGTATTAGGTATTATTGACATAAAATATTTATGGTTTCATCGCACTATTAATGATATAACAGAATAAGAAGATCGGTTAATTGATAGTGGACAATATTTAGATATGATAAACAATAAATTAATTTATTAAATTATACTACATTAATGTAATTAAACGAAAATTGATTTATTTTATGTGAAATGTTTATCAAATATGCCATGGACTGAGTTAATATTGAATTCATCTCACTTGCATTTCATGGTCGAATTTCTATTTACTAAATCTTTAGTATGTAGAGTAAAGAGGGAAAATATATATTTCAGAGGTTTCTTTAATCCTCTCATCAATTTGTTAGGGCCATTTCTCTCTTGAGAATTATTTTCTTCCCCAGGTTCCCTAGCTTGTCCAAAAACGGCAACTGGCTTTTATTGAATTTGAGTTATAATTTAATCATATTCCATTTTTTTGTATTTCCTAATAAGCTAATGATAAAAATATAATCGAGTACTTGGAAGCCTTCAGTGCTCGAACCATGCCCAGAAAATGACCCACATGTTTGGGTTGAAACGTTGGCACAAATAAAAAATTAAAAATTGCTTAAACTTAATTTTTCAAATCAACAGCGCTAATAATTTCGATAATAGATAAATTATTTGTCATATGAAATTTGATAATATGGGAAGTGTCCGGGAAATAAATTGTAGCGATTCCATTTTTAGTTGAATCAAAAAACGGTCATTTTATTTTTAGTCACACCATTCATTCCTTTACTATATTACCACATTAAACTAAATTTTGGCTTTTAGCAATCATTTTTAACCTATTTGAATTTATTTTAACCATTTATGAAATTAAATCTTGATCCACAACAAAAGTTACTAAGAAGAACAATGTTTTTCTTTTTGAAAACACCAGGCAGTGGATTTTGAAATCCTTCTTTGTCTTCCTCTTCATACCATTGCTAGCGCCTAGGAGCCTCAGTTCCATGCAGCCATGCCTCTCGGTCCCTTGTAAGCCGCCTCATTTCCTGGAGGGTTTTGCCTCTCTTCTGTCCAATCCTCCGCATATGCTCCTGATACGAAATTCTGAGGCAGCTCCTCGGCCTCCTCCCAGAGGGACGAGGTTCCAGAACCTTTCGCGGATCTATCCATACGACAAACGTGGCCAAACCACTTCAACTATCGGTTTTCCATTAATGTCCTTAGCTCCACAACCTATAGATCTACTCTTATGCGTTCATTCCTGATGCGGTCCCTCCAGATCTTTCCAGCAGCTCTCCGCAGGAAGCTCATCTAGGCTGCTGTCACACGACTAACATGCTTGTCTAGCATAATCCAGCTTTCGCTTCCATATGTGAGGGTTGGGAAGTATACCGACTTGCATATGTGCCTTTTAATACAAAAGCATGCAAAAAAACTATAAAATAAAAAATGAATATCATAATCTTTATTAAAAAAAGTATTAGGTTGTGAGGATAACAATCAAAACTATTACTTTCAGTTGCCTAGTTTTTAAAAAATAAAACTTTTGTATTGTCTTAAGTAGAAAACAGAATAATCCCCAGTAGTGAATAAAAATATTTGAATTAAAGTTGCAGGCATCTATATTTTTAATTCTACGAACTGATGATTTAGGTAATGATTAAGAAATTTTAAGAAATCATAGTTATTTTTTCACTGATTTAAGATTTGTTTTGTTGGTTATTATGGAAAAACAGGAAACAACAAAGTAGTGTTTTAAATTTTTATTTTTTTATAAAAGTATAAAAAGTATTTTTTTATGTACATTTGGCAATTGTTAATGATGGTAACCAGAGGAAGAGCTGGCGCCTCCTGAGTGTCCGTGTCCGTAGTAAGCTTCAGAGGAGTGTCCGTAATGCTGAGGGTGGACAGCGTGTCCTTTCCTCTCTACGACGGCGTTGAAACCATTGTGCTTGTCTGCGGTGTAGTGGACGATCCTCTCGGTACCATCGGGTTCGTAAAGGGAGTAGTAGCCCTTGACAACGTCTCCTTCCCTGGTCTCTTCCTGCTTCTTGATGTCATGGGTGTGGGGGTCATGTACGCTGTAGTCGAACTTGTAGTGTGGTGGAGCCTATAATAAAGGGAAAACAAAAGTTATTTAAATATAACCTTCATATCTTGGGCAAAAAATGGAATTATTTCATGAAGTTGAAGGAAACTTAAAAACATTGAAATTCTTACGTAGTAATCGACGTAGTGCTCTTCTTCGTGGTGTCCGTACTGAGGGGCTGCAAGGGCTGCTCCCACAAAGCAAAGGGCTAAGATTACCTGCGGGCAACAAAGAATAATGTGTTACTAATAAATAAACGATTATTTGCACATAGTTTAAATTTTGTCAAGTCCTATAGTCCATTTTTTTATGGTATAATTAGTTTGTAGTTTTTAAAATATTTTTCATTAGGTATAGATTGACTTACCTTGTACATGTTGGTGGTTGATTAGACTGTTTTGATCTGCCTTTTCCATTCCCTGAAACGCTTATATAGTTGACCAACCATCTTATACCCCCACTCCACCCTCACAGGCCGCCAATATTCTATAGACACAATATACATATTCTCATTAATATTTATCCATTTTTTTGTGTATTGTAACTTGTAATCATATCTTAAATTCAGAAAGATTTTAATTAGTAATACTTATTAGAATTAATTAATGAGATTAAATAAATCATTTTAGGTCTTTATAATAAAGGTTGTATATTTTAATTTGGGTCAATAGGATCAATAAAATTCTTTACTTTTCAGTATTATCTACTGGTGTGATATCGGAGAATTATCGTTTCTTTCAATATTTCGTTCGTCGTTAATATCAAACCATTTTCTCTATAGCCGAACCATGATCTGATAGTCTTATTAATGTATGTTAAGTTGAAGTAAGAAAATATTTTTTAAAAAATTGCTCAACATACTTTAAGCTTCTGGTCTTTGAGACAGAGAGGTATTGTAAATAATATCTCCAGTAACTTTTCGATAGAAATATAAATTAGCTGCCATGAGGGGCTTTGGCTGTTTAAATAAACTTTTTAGAAATCAAAAAAAAAAAAAAATAAATAAATAAAAAGAAAGACTTCTGAAGAACTTGTTGGAGCCTAAAGAGCTTGTGTAGCTGTGGATATTAAAGTTTAACTTAATATAAATTAATAACTTTAATTGTGTACATCATACATCGATCTATAATTAAGCTTAAACATGTGATATCATTAAATTTATGTGGCTCTTCTGAGGTTTTCTTCTCCACTTCACAATATTATCTTTGCAATAATGTCTTCCGCAATTTTTGCACATGGCTTGCAAAAATAATCCGACTAACTCACTGAAGAACTTTATTGCTCGGACATATAAAAGATTTTCAAATTTCTTGGTTATGTCTCATTCTTTTTGATTTTTTGTTTTTGTTTTAAAAAAATTATATTTAAATCGCAAATGCTCCGCATAGGACCTAATTTGAATTTATTTCGAGAGCTGTAGTAGGTGTCTTCAAATGACACAAGCAGTAAAATTTTAAAGTATGTCGAGCCACATTTTTATTTTTAGTTTATTACACTCAACCGCTTAAGTCTTAAGTGTCTTTCTATGGTGAATTTTTAAAATTTATCTTTTTTTGTTTGATTATATTTTATTAAACAAATTACGTTACTTAAGAAATGCTATTATTATTTCAATGTTGCTACTATTCGTTAGTTTAACAGACTGTCAGATTTCATTTTTGCACATTCTAAAAACTAAGGAAATGGTTTAGGATTAAATATGCAAGAAAGAAATATTCTAAGAATTCCCACTTCATCACTAAACAATGCAAAAATAGTTCATATCACGAAAATAAACAATAAGATAATCCTGAGATATCACTCAGGTAGATAAAAAAAAAAAAAAGGTAAGTATTTTATTATTCTTACTCAACCGAACTACTAACATATTTAACTTTTGTTATAAAAACCAATTAGTTTTTTTATTAATTGTTCATTTATGGAATCTATTAAAATAAACTTATGAGTTTGTAATTGGCTCATATATTAATCATGTGTGGTATCATTAATATAAAATCATTTAGAATTTATGTTATAATTAAGAGATCTATCACACAAAAATGTGGATATGTAGATGAATAGATACCTATGTATTGCTTATACACCATTAGGCAGTCGTGGGTGTTGGAGGGTGGGGTGTAAGATGGTTGGTCAACTATAAAAGCGTTTCGGTGAATGAAAGAGGCAGATCAAAACAGTCCTTTCAACAACCAACATGTACAAGGTAATACAATCAATATCTTAAGAATAATATTATTAAACAACAAATATATACTGATTGTAGTATAAAAATCAGACTACAACGACATTTAAACTATTTATATTATGTAATAGTATTACTTTACTTATTGTTGACTGTAGATAATCTTAGCACTTTGCTTTGTGGGAGCAGCCCTTGCAGCTCCTCAGTACGGACATCACGAAGAGCATTACGTCGATTACTATGTAAGCTTTTCAAAGTTCCAAGTAGTCAAATCCATTCAATGAATCCTATTATCATTCAGGAAATGCCTAAATCATCTATTTTTAAAATATTTTTTTAAAGGCCCCACCCCACTACAAATTCGACTACAGCGTACACGACCCCCATACCCACGACGTCAAGAAGCAAGAAGAGACCAGGGAAGGAGACGTTGTCAAGGGCTACTACTCCCTCTACGAACCCGATGGTACCGAGAGGATCGTCCACTACACCGCAGACAAGCACAATGGTTTCAACGCCGTCGTAGAGAGGAAAGGACACGCTGTCCACCCTCAGCATTACGGACACTCCTCTGAAGCTTACTACGGACACGGACATTCGGGAGCCGCCAGTTCTTCTTCTGCTTACTATCATTAATAATTTTGGAATGTACATAGGAAATCACTTTTTATACTTTTCTAAAAAAATAAAATTATAAACTCAAATGATGCGTTTCCATCTTTTTCCAATATAGCCGACAAAACAAACCTTTATAAATCTTAAATCAGTGTGAAAAAAAATAAATGGTTCTTCAAAAGGTATAGATCATTACATATAGAGCCATGTCGTAAGTACGAGTCTTCATGGAGTACGTCATATCACTAGATATTATTCTAATTCTAATTATCCAAGAAAATGGGAAAATGGTATTAGTTCTTTAAATTGATCTATGATGGGATTCATGACAGATGTTTAATTTTTTTAAAGTAAAGAAATCAATGAAATATCTTCTAAAATAATAATTTGAAAAAACTATGCAACTAGATGTCAGCAGTTATCCACACTATCTATTTATTTATTAAGAGAAGTGTTAATAAATATATATGATTGCTAAACATATGATGATTGTTTCATATTTTTGTTTTCTATTGTGCTCGATAGATTAAAAAAATATTTAAAAAAGATTTTTATTATACAACATAAAAAAATAACGGTATTTCTCATAACATTTATTAACAGTAGTAAAAAGTTTATATCAATAATAATTTTTAATCAATTTTCTAATAAAACTATTTTTTAGGACTTATCTTAAGATTGTTGTAAACGTAAAGTTTAAATCAATCAATATTTTCTCAAAATAACTTCTTAAGTTAACATAAGGTAATGAAAAGTTTTTTATTGAGGGCAGGTGGTCAAAATCGACCTTACGTTTCGTTAGTGCAATGCATAAATATGTTTTGGATTGTTCCTGACATGATACTTATTCTTAAAATGAATTGTCAACGTAATGGCAAAGTTAGATAAATAGATGTAGAAATGACTAGCTTGAAGCAATAGATATGTAATTTTCATATACCCTGAATAAAATTAATAAAGTTTCTTCCTGTTAGGAATAAAATAAGGAATTAAAGGAAAAATGTATGTCCGCCGTCCGCGACTTTTCTCCGAGATTACTGAACCAATTTTTTCGAGATTTGGAATCAAAAGTCAGAGGTCACCCGATGATGATCCTCCTACCTCGACATTACATTCCTTCCTTCATTTCAATATGGCGGCCAAAAAAACTGTGTTGGTGTAGACAGTAGCATATCGGAGGGTAGGTGACCGAGCGAGCTAACAGCACCTTGTGTTGCCTAGCAACTCGATAACCGAAGTTTAAGACAGAACAATAATTGCGAGTTCAAATCCCGGAGCTCCGTGGTACTTTTAACTCGTCATAATCCCCCGCCCTCTCATCAGACCCGGGAAAAAAACCGCATAGCCTAAAGGCAAGGAAGGGAAGAAACAAAAAAAAGAAACTTGAAATTTTTGTGTATATGTATATATGTATACTTCACCGATAAGTACTTTCTTTTCATGTAGGCAGCCGAAAGACCTGTGTCGTATTGACTGCAACATCAGAACGGATGTACCGATATTAATGAATCTTGGTTAAAAATATTCTCCTCGATGTACTTAACAAACTTCGCCGAAAAGAAGCTGGAAATAAAGTTATGAAGGGTGATAAAATTAGATTTCCGAATAACTCAAAAAGTATACACCTTTTTGTGATTTTTATAATCAGATATTTCAAAAGTATTTAAATTTTCAACGATTTCAATAATGTAATTAAATAAACTGCACTACTTGTACGGCTTTAGTAAATTCACCTAACCTTATGAAATTATCTAGAAGTAATAGTAAATTAAACACTTCCGCTGATTATTCGTATTACACAGGTCAACCCTTCATTATACCAACCCATGAACTCAAGTTCAACTTTAACAATTTTTTTTTGACCAATGGAATTTATTTTAATAATTCATAATTAAAAATAGAACATTGTTTTACAAAATTGCTTTTTCCTAGTCAAATTTAATGTGATAAAGAAAATTAATATTTTTCTTTCTAGAAAACGCTTGGAAAAGAATCCCAGCAAAGTGATTTTGAAAACATCACCAACATGCCATCAAGTTTTTTTACGGGTTTCATTTGTAGTGTAAGTAAACAAAGACAGCAATAGATTTAAAAAAAAAACTATTTTTTTTTTAATTATAAAATGCGAACCAGAACTAGTCGCTAGCAGGTGAACTGTAATTTAATAATTAGAGGAAGATCTGACGCCTCCTGCGTGTCCGTGTAGTTAGCTAAGTCTTATCATTAGTGCGAAAACTCGTAACAAGATTAATTGGAAAGTTGATTAGATCTGAGTACAAATTTATATTTTGCATTATTTGCGAACATTCTTATGATGTTATATTTCTCAGCTCTATAAGAGATTTTTTTTCTTTTTAACATAACGATTCCAAAAGTATATAAAAGTGTGCATAATACATCATCACCCTTATCAAAATGGGAGTAAACCATCAATACCGCATTCACAACCAAGTCTTCCAGTTGCATTGTTTTTTTAGCCCCATCTGTTAAGTTTCATTCTCTGAAGAAGTTAATCATTATTTGTGGTGCTGTACTTAATTTATTTTATAGACCGTTGATCTCGTAGGTCAAAATCAAAACAATATATATTAATAGGATTTACTACATGGAGTGAAGAAATGTTTAATGAATTTGCAAAAATTTATATTTTAAAACTATTGCTTTGTGATTTATGTTATGAACCATCATTTTAAAGAATAATTCCTCCCCCCCCCCTCACTGATTTAAGATTTGGAATTTTTTTTTCTTTGGTATTGAAATAAAGGGAAACACAGCTATATTGTTTTACAATTTTATTTTTTTTTATAAAGGTATAAAAAGTGTTTTTTTTAATTGTTAATGGTGATAAGCAGAAGAAGAGCTGGCGCCTCCCGAGTGTCCGTGTCCGTAGTAAGCTTCAGAGGAGTGTCCGTAATGCTGAGGGTGGACAGCGTGTCCTTTCCTCTCTACGACGGCGTTGAATCCATTGTGCTTGTCTGCGGTGTAGTGGACGATCCTCTCGGTACCATCGGGTTCGTAAAGGGAGTAGAAACCCTTGACTACATCTCCTTCCCTGGTCTCTTCCTGCTTCTTGACGTCGTGGGTATGAGGATCATGTACGCTGTAGTCGAACTTGTAGTGAGGTGGGGCCTATAAATAATAAAAATTAAAAGATTATTTAAATATATTCGCCATACCTTTGATAACAATGGAATTTCAGCATAATGTTGAAGGGAAATTAAAAACATTAAAATTCTTACGTAGTAATCGACGTAGTGCTCTTCTTCGTGGTGTCCGTACTGAGGGGCTGCGAGGGCTGCTCCCACAAAGCAAAGGGCTAAGATTACCTACGGCCAACAAAGAATAAAGTAATACTAATCAATAATATTACTTGTACATAGTTTAAAATTGGTTAAGTGATATAGTATGTTTTTATGTTAAAAGCAGTTTGTAGTTGTGGTTTGTGAATGTTTTTCATTAGGTGTAGATTGAGGTACCTTGTACATGTTGGTTGTTGATTGGACTGTTTTGATCTGTCTCTACCATTCTCTGAAGCGCTTATATAGTTGACCAAACCTCTTACACCCCACCCTCCAGAGCTCACGACCACCTAATATTGTATATATTATACATATCTTCTCATGTACATATACCTACTTTTAATTTAAATTTATAATTTTATATTATCAAATAAATTCATAAAGATTATATTTTAAATCATCACGTTATTTGTTATACTTATGTATTGTCTGTAAATTATCTTGTTGTTTATTTTACTTACGAAATATATTTCCAACCAACTGAGTGTAGTTTGAAGTTCTTTGAATTATAATTCAATATTTGATAATCAAGACATTAAATAGTTTTCTCTACTATTCAACAATGAATTCCTATAAAGATACATCGAATTAGAATAAAGCGTCTTTAATTTTTTTTTAACGGGAATAAGACCTGAAACGTATTTAATATACCAGACTAAATACTTTTTCACTGTTTTTTTAAATATCACTTCTTATTGCTCACATAGATAGCTCCTCATTTATGTTTTCATCAAAGTTTGTTCTTTTAAGTTCTAGAACAAACATAGTTATAGGAACTTCTTCAAGTTCCCTGTTATCGAACTTCAATTTTCTAGCCAAAAACATTAATGACTGTTCAGCCATTTCTTGGGCATGTTGTTGAACTTGAACATTTAATCATTGAACTTCCTATAAAAAGTATAAACAGAACTTTTATTCAAATAACACAAATTTTTAGCTTCTATTAAATCAATTTATTCAACGAAACATTTTATGATACATTAATACTTAAAATAAAAGCATGGCGAATTTATATTTGTGATCTTGTTCTATGGAGATTTTATATTTCATTGAACCAAATTATTTTTTCCCACCATAAATGAATACAAGTAAAACTTGTATAATAAATCCATTTATTTATTACACAAAATTTTCATATGACTTTTATTTAATATTTTGTATTTCAAAGATGAAAAAAAATAAAAAAATGAATTTTCAAGCTCTAGTTTTGTGTTTTTATTTAAATGTCTGTGTGATCATGCTTCTTTCGATGATTTTTATTTATGCTTGTTGTTGTCAATATTTAAATTTACCGTTTGAAAAAAAAATATTGTTTTTTTTACATCTTCATTGGTCCTCGGCCAGGTTATTTTACGTTATTAAATTAATTTGTAAAATTATACAATTTAAATATAAAAATAAATTTGATCAATCCACATGACATTGTAAACAAGCATCAAGAATAGAATAAACAGCAAGACAGATTAGCTTGATGTGTTACAACGCAGTGGCAAATATTAATAAAAAAAAAAAAAAGATTAGTCAAATATTTCTAGAGTTTGTTGGTGACTAAACAAAAATTCTCCTTTTTTATCCTCTTAATTATACAAAAGATTAAATATTTAATACCTACGAAATCGGCCTGAATTATAAAATGATCCTTCCTGAGAGCATCGCTTATAAAGCAAAGAAAAATTTAACTACATATAATAAAAAAAAAAAAAACGTATATATATAAACGTATT